CTCTGGTACCAATTTAGTTCTAGTTTGTTTCTCCATTGCTGTGACAAAATATTTTGACCATTACCAATGTGGGGAGAAAAAGATTTATTTTATCTTAGATCTCCCGTCACAGTTCATCAGGGAGCTGAAGGTAGGAACTCGGGAGAAACCTGGAGGTAGAGATGGAGCACAGGCCATGGAGGAACACTGCTTACTGGCTTGCTCCCCTGGCCCCTGATCAACCTGCTTTCTTATACAACATAGGCCCGCCTGCCCAGGTGTGTGACCACCCCCAGAGGGCAGGACTCTCCCACATCACTCCATAATAAAGACGATGCCCCACAGACATGGCCACAGGCCAGTCCAATGGGATTGAGGCTCCCTCAACCCCGGCTGTCATCTTGACACTACAGCTGTCCGGCACATACACATAACATAAAAACAATTTAAAAAAGAGTCAGGAGGCAAGATATGAGTTCTCAAACTTAACTACATAAATCTTCTACAGGAAGAACTCAGTCACAAACTCAGAGTAGCAAATACCCGAGGAAAGGTTAGGTTACTTCAATAATTTTCCCTCATTCTCTCATGTCACATTTCCCAGGTGAAATCAGTCCCTAGATAATGAGAGTTGACACTTTGATTATCACAACTTATTTGTTTTGTGAAATGTGCTGTGAATTTGAGATTTGCATCATGATGTTTGAAGGGTAGACACACTGTATGTGACTCATGCTATGTGGTGAACACACACAGTCCTTCTCATTATTAAAATTCTTTGATCAGAGCACATTACTTATTAATTTCCCTATAGCCCCAGCTGTCCTGGAACTCACTGGTTAGACCAGGCTGGCCTCGAACTCACAGAGATACACCTGCCTCTCCCTCCCAAGTGCTGGGATTATAGGCATGCACCACCACACCCTACAACTAAAGTAATCTCTATCTTTTTAGCTTATATCAAATTCAAAACTGAATTTACCTAATTTCTCTCATATTATTGCATAGTCCATTGTGGACTGTTTTCATCTGATCTATAACTGAGAAAAATTATTCAGCATGTAAAACATTGTATTGTGGCTCCATCTTTAGAGGTTTCAGCCCAGTATCCATGGGACTCAGAGACTAACAGACAATGGCAAGACTGAACCATGAGAGGGAAGGTCATGACATCAGAAACCTCACCTCATGGCTGACAAGAATTACAGAGAGAAGGAAGGTGCCTGAACGAGACACAGCCTCCAAACCATGGCACTGTGAACATGACCCTATCTGTGGAGAATACAGAAGTCAGAAAGATTATGAATGAACAAGCATATGAGCAGTTTGAGAAAGCATGGATCCCAAAGATGCCTGGGCTGACTCACATGCACACACAGGAGGATGTTTAAATTTCAAAAATCAAAGTACACTTGCAGAACTAAACTGGACAATAGATTTAGTCTTAAATATTATACAAGATTAATGTTTCACAATCTCTTTTCAGACCAAACTGCAAAATATACATCAATAGTAGGTAGAAAATAGAGGAATCCCAAATGCTATGCAGACAGCCACACATATTTAACATGTTCTTATTTAAAATGGGAAGAGAATATAGAATTTCATGCTATGTAAACATTCTATGTGATTCTCATCAAAGTCTTACAATCATTTTGGGGAGAAATACATTAGTAATTGCACAACAATGAAAAATCACAAGGACTCAGAAGGGCACAATCATTACCAAAGGAGGAACAAAAGGAAAGACACAAAATTTACTAATTTCATAATATGTTAAAAAGTTAATCTATAGGCCTTAACATATCTCACAGAATGCATCTGGAGGGGGTATATGGGGGGATCAGGTTAGGTAGGCGGTATAGAGATTATTAAAATTTTTTTATGAAATGCACAAAAAGTGAATAGAAAATACACAGTGAAAAAAACGTATTATAGGAAGAACACACAGGAAAAAGTCAGCTATTAGCTTGCATTGGCAAGACATGTGACATGGGAGATAAGGAAAAATTAAATAATTAAATCAAGTGATGTTTGCGTACTAGTAATTGCCACACAATTCATGTAAAATAAAAGAAGTTATTTGATGTTGACCACAGGACAAAGCTGGATGAAACTGCTGTAATTTTAATTATCAAAATCTCTACTGAAACAGACTATGACAAAACCATTCTCGTGTCTTTATCCCTCTTTACTTATAACTGCTCACCTGGGCCCCCCTTCATACACTTAAACCTACCTGGTTGGCTACAGTCTCCCCTCTCTTCACATTCCAGGGCTCTTTGCTTTGCTCCAGATGGGAGACCAGAACAGGCTTACAAACAGCAAGACCTGTGTATGAGAAATAGGCACATGCACATACTGGATTCGCGAGAAAGTACGGGATTTCTAACACAGCGCTGTGCTCCACTGGAAATATAGAGAAAAAGAGATGACTCTCCAAATAATTTCCCAATTTTTATTTTAGGACAGACTCATGAGAATACATTAGAAATTTTTTAGTTTTTATGTGTTGACTTCTATCACTGAGTCAAAATGAAGCTATGGAAATTGAACTTTAAGATTCTGGCTACAGTTTCATATACTAATGGGTGACTGAAATTAACTCCAAAAATAACAAATAATGTAATAATTCCTCTAAAGTAATAATTTCTCTAACAAGTGGAACTGGAAAGTAATGATAGAATATAAGCATGATCTTCTCGATGCCCAGACATTGCCAAAACACTAATTTTTAAAGAATCCGAGACTTACACAGCAAAACTAACATATGTGGGCTGAGCGTAATGGCGCACACCTTTAATCCCAGCACTTGGGAGGCAGAGGCAGTGGATCTTTATGAGTTCGAAGCCAGCCTGTTCTACATAGTGAGTTCCAGGGCAGCTGGGGCTAAAAGGAGACTCTGTCTCAAAAACACATACACACACACACACACACACACACACACACACACTAACATATGTACAAAGTAGACTGTTACCTATCAAAGGATGGAGAACAGTTAAAACTTCTGATAGAAAAATCTCACCTATAGACACCAGATTGCTGTAGTTCTCCAACATCACCTCTCTGTACAAAGCCCTCTGAGCAGAGTCTAGGCATTCCCACTCCTTCTGGGAGAAGTGTATGGACACATCCTTGAATGTCAATGGATTCTAAAATGAAAAATGACAATTAGACCATGTGCACTTAAACAGGGTACTGAACCCAAGAAAGAAAGACATAATTAGTAAATAAGTACTGAATTAGATGAGAAATCTGAATTATTGAAAAGGATATTTCTTAATGTAGTAATTATTAATAATCTACTCGCTAATTCTATGAAAAATGAGTAGCATCAAAGCCTCCAAATTTTTGAGCAATTATGATGTTAAAGGGCACAGCACATAAATTAAGCCCTCAACATCGGAATACCATTTCCCTCCTGTATTTGTAGCACACAACATCAGTTGTATATATTTATCTGATGTAAAGTCACACTGATTTTAAGTCTGCTTCGTGAATTTGAAAGTTTATAACCATGCACTGTAGTACTAGCTAAAACATAGATTTTTACTTTAGGATCTGTGACTGGGCCTGACTCAACCCTCTCCTAACAGACTTTGCAGTGGGGCCACTGACCCACGTACAAAAGACACTTTCTCCAACAGCACTCAGTGGAACATGGCAGAAGATAAAGAACTCTGTGTGCTCTCCTCCACAGCAGGAAGACACGATCTTTGTAAAGAAAATCCTATACTGTGCATTTAATATAGAAAGTACAGAAACATCAGTGCAGAATTATTTTAATGATACTTTTGTAGTACTTTCTTTTTTAATCCTCACTTACCTACCTAAACTTTATCTAGAAAGAACACACTGGCTGACTTATGAACACCACAGTAACAGAATTTGAGAACTTGGCTCCTCACTGAAGGGTAATGAAAACATGAAGACAAGATCCAACACTGACTGAACAATGTGGATGCTGCATACACAAAATGCTTCCAAATCAGGCAACTGCACTTGGGTAACATTTAATAAACAGAACTCTTTCTGCAGGTTACAGAACCAGTAATGGAGGCAGTGTTGTGATTGACTGTAAAGTAAAAATACCAACAGAGAGAACGAGGCCTGCTTCAGAATCCCCACCTGGAAAATGCAGTATGTAGCAAACAAACGAGAAAGGTTTCTGTCTCCAGAGAAAGGAAGGAAACTACAGTGATGAAAGGGGAGATTCTGCAGTAAATGTCATGATCTGTGTGCTTCACACTGTAAACTACCAGAAGAAAACTTATTCCTAATAAATTAAAAACAATGTCAAAGTCTGAGATTTGGTACAGAGCAGCTCAACCAAGGGAATCAACTCCCTTGAGAGAGGGAGAATAGAGGTGTCAACAAACCCAGCAGCACATTACATCTGGCCTGTCATGTTGTTCAGATTAAATGTTGAGCAATGTACCAGAATAAAATAAAACAAAAATATCAGTTTTATGTACACTTGAAACAACAATACAGTGGCATATGATGGCCCAAGTCCATCGTCCTTAGGAAATAAAGACTGACATGTTTGAATTTTCACCTATCACAACAGAAACATTTTTGAGATGGTTGGTCATGAATTCATTGGATTAGTCTGGAAAAAAAATAAGCACTGGAGGACAAAATGAAGAGGTGGACATGCTACATAGGTGATACATATGAAAAGAGTTAATGTGGCCCGAGCATGGTGGTACAGGCCCTTATTCCCAGGACTCCAGAGGAAGAGGCACGAGGATCTCTGTGAGATCCAGGCTAGCCTGTGAACTGGCTCAGTAAACTTCCCTAAGTTACTCCATTTTGTTCAGAGCCATTTCAGCAGCAACTTCGCTCCACACCAAAAGGAAAAGGGGGGCAACCTTGGGCCTTGGGAAATTGCCCTTGCCATGAACCATGGAATGTGCTAATTCCAGACATTATACATTTTTACTAACCAGCTTGTTTTCACTTCTGTAACCCACTTGCTGTCTTGGGTCACCCTGACACAGGGCATAAGACCATCCTTGTTACCTTGTTATTGTATGACCACCTAGAAATCATTTACCTTGACTGTCTTATTATACTTATGGCTAAAACAGTTGGCCAGTTTTAAGGTCACAAAGTTGATTGCCAAGTTATATGACTGTATCACTTGTCTGTATAATGATTGGTTGTTGATTAATAAGAGTCAAAATTCTGCTATGTTGTACAAACCTGATTGGTTCACAAATGTCCTGTTTGAATAATAATTCTGTAATCCTATAAAAACTCTGACTTAACAATCATCAGGGCTGCTTCTACTCCCGAGATAGCCCAGCCAGTTGAAAATTAAAATTTACGTTGCTACTTTTCTTAAAGTGGTGTTGGTAATTTTTTTTACGAACTCTGTCCTATAACAGCCTGGTCTACATAGCTAATTTCTGGATGAGAAAAGGTTACACATTCAAAATACCAAAAATTTAGATAAAGTGTACATGAACCAGACCCTTGGATGAATTTACCTGAAAAGAAGTCATCTCTCTCCTCCCTCTGAGTCTCCTTTCCAGGCAATCTTACATAAACAATCTTCTCTTTCAAGAAGCTTCCTTTCAGTTCACTGAAAATCCACTTCCCCTGCCAACATAACAAAAGGAAGAAGCAGGACAGAAAAGAAAGCAGGCCATTCTCACTGTCTGCCTCACAGAGGATGCACAGGAAGAAAGAGCTCAACATGGAGACCCCATAGAAGTTTCTGCTTTCCTGCCTTCCAGTGGCCACCCTGCCAACAAGATCAAGAATTCCTACTACATCATGGGAATGTAGCCGCCTCACCTCCTTACCTAAACAAGGCGGAGTAACACGGTTTTCATCCTTTGGAATAGAGGCTACACTAAGCTTTCCTTCAGAAGCACTGGCAGCTGACCCCCAGCCTCACTGTCTTCTGCCTGTGACTGTTAATGAAACAGCACTGATGCTTCTACTGAGCTTCACAGACAGAATCTGTGGGGGAGGCACAAGGGAGAGTTTTCCTTTTAAAGGCTAAAGTTCAGGAGTTGTCCACTGTGAGTTTTTAAAAATCTATTCTTGGGGCAAGAGAGATGGCTCAGAGGTCAAGAATAATGGTGGCTCTTGCACAGGATCTGAGTTCAGTTTGTAGCACCCACATGGTGCCAACAACTGTACTTAAAACCTCTTCCAGGGGTTCCCACACTGTCTTCTGGCTCCACTGACATTGCTCACATGGCTGCACTTACATACACCTAAGCACAACAATCATACCCACGAATTAAAATAAATAACAATAAAAATGAAGCCATCATTGTCTGATGACACCATATTTTACATATCTATGAAATATCATTGATACTTTGTTACACACACACACACACACACACACACACACACACGATATTGACCTAGTCAGTTTTGTTTTGTTTTTTCTTTTTTTTGGTCTTTTTGAGACAGGGTCTCCCGATATTGACCTAGTGAGTTTTGTTTTGTTTTTTCTTTTTTTTGGTCTTTTTGAGACAGGGTCTCCCTATAGCCCCAGCTGGCCTGGAACTCACTTTGTAGACCAGGCTGGCCTTGAACTCACAGAGATTCACCTGCCTTGGCCTCCTGAGTGCTGGGATTAAAGGCATGCACCACCACACCCAGCACCCTAGTCAGTTTTTAATATATCCACATGTAAAATTATATCCTGTCCTATGGTGAGTGTAACCAAATTGATATTTTCTAACAATTTTAAAATATAAAATTGGATCATTTTATTTACCTTATTGTGTATAGAACAGTAGAACTTAGTTCAGCCATGAAGCCATGACCCTGTGTCTGTTATTTACCCACATTCTCTCCATTCACTGCAAACTGCAACATCTGTCATCTCCCTTTTCTTTTTCTGTTTCTCTTATAGTTGAGATCATGTAGTGCTTGTGTCTCAACTTCCTTTACCTGATACAGTGTCCACCAAATCAATCCTGTTCTCAAGTATGAGAAGATTCCACTCTTTTCTATGATGGAATTATGACGTATTCTTTAGAAATATCATATTTTGGTAAATCTTTCATTAATTAATGGATATTTCAGTAGATTCCCTATTCTTCAAACAGTGCTGCCATAATTAGGGAGTGAATATATCTCTGGCCAATATTGAATTCACTTCCGCTGAGTGAAGAGAATTTGGTGGATGGAGCCACACTGGAGAAAGAACACCTGTGGCTTGATTTTCGGCATCTTTCTTCCCTCACTTAGAACAGCCATTTCCAGTTCCGTCCACTTACCTGCAAATTCCTTGGTTTCCTTTTCCTTCACCGCTGAGTAGAAGTCCATTTTATAAATGAACCACATTTACAAGACGCCTTCATAGACTAATGTACATTTGGGTTGTGCACCTGAATTTCAAAGAAAGTAGAATAGAAAATTTTTTTTAAATCTCTGCCTTATCATGTAGTTAAATGAGACATTAAATGGGTCTCTTCTGATGACTTGGGAGGCCTTTAGTTGAAATTACGAGTCTCACATTCTTGAAATTTCACAGGCAATACTGAAGGACCAGTCACTTTATAATAATTAAACTTACAGGCAGTTTTCAGTCTCAAAACTATCTTGTAACATTTCTTCTAGTACATACATTTTAAAATGTGATTTCATGAAGTGTTAATTGTGTTAACTTAATAGTCATTTCAAAAATATATGTAGAGAACAAAATACTACATTGCATCTCCTAAATACATAGAGTTCTTTTTCATCAAAATAAATATTAAGGGACTGGAGAGATGATTCAACAGTTAAGAGTAATGGTTGGTTTTGCAGAGGACCCAAATTCAGTTCCCAGCATCCAGATGGCAGCTAATAATCATCTGTAACTCCAGTTCCAGGCGATCCAATGCCCTCTTCTGAGCTCAATGAGCACTGCCCAACATGGGTGCCCTTACATACATCAGGCAATACACTCATACACATAAAATAAAAATAGCAAATTAAACATTTTTTCAAAAAATTAATATTAGAAAGTGTAATCTATCCTATAATACTGCACTTTAATTTATGGATGTCTGACTCCATGTCTCACAAGTGTAATTTCAAATAATTGATGGTAATCTTTTTCCACACTAATAAAGTGTGCAGCGGTGTGTCCCTCAGGGCCACCTGCCTCTTGCATGTGTTTCAGGACATCACCATCACCCCCAGGATGGTCCCAGGTGGTCACAGCTTAAAGCACAAGAGAACAAGTGCTCTAGCACCTTTGTATTCCTGGGCAGTGTGGTTCATGCTTTGAGTACTTAGAAAGGACCTGGATCTCTAACACAGTAGTGAGCTCAATAGATAAGGAGAGAACACAACAGAGAATTCTACCAATGCCTCTCCGATTGGAATATTCTGTCAGAACACTGATATTTACAGAGCTTCTTCAGTTTGCATAACTTGTGTCCCACCTCTAATGACAGCTCAGCCCAAACTCCAGGTTAGAAATGGAACTTTGTAATTGGGTAACAATATTATATGCTCTAAAGTTTCTGAATTGGCCATGGAACAAAATGAAAGAACATAACCCCTCCCAAAGGACACACATGAGCATAGACACAATTACATTAAAGTGTTCTTTTCTCCAATGAGAATTTCACTTTCTGAGATGTGACACTCATTCACACAAGTTAACACACACAAAAACACACAGTAGTTCCCCAAGGAACTCTAAGTATGCATAAGAAATTCTATAAGAAAAATTTTCTCACCAACAAAAATTAGACAGCTGTAATTCTCCACCATCAGGTGTCTGTAGAAAGTGCTCTAAGCAGGATCTAGGAATTCCCTCTCCTCCTGTGACAAGTTCACAGTCACATCATTAAATGTCAAAATCCCCTGAAATGAACAATAGCAGTTTAACCATGTGTGCACAGCAGATTGCTTCCTTGAATCAAGGAGATCAAAGACATCAAGAGCCATTTTCTGATGTGGGGAGTGATCATAACTATTCTATAGAAGATTTTTCACACTGTCATGTTCTCTAACCCCTTTTCTAACTGTGGAAATAGTATGGCATGATATCCTTGTATTCAGCATGTGTACAGTTTTTATGGACTAGAGGATCTAAAATTAAGACCTCAACAGAAGAATATGCATTTTAACGCTGGATTCCCATCATACATTATATATTTCAGATGGGACAGTAATGGTGAGTTACAAGTTTATTTCTTCAATGTTAATGTTTACAACTATAACCACGGATGTCCGCTAAATTATATGTTCTGGTTCAATAAAATCTAGAATCATTCCTTCTGTGACTAATTCTAACAAGCTCTCTAGAGATGGCAAGACCACGGGTCCAAACGGAACTCCCTTAGATACAGAAAAGTAGAACATGGAAGTCAGAACGCACGGATTAATTTAACCTGGAAGAGCTTTGTTTTTTCCACAACAGCAAGGGGAGGGATCATAGACTTGAAGTAATTCTTACACACTCGCCATCACTCTGCCATGTTTGCGAACTTCAGCGCATTAATTCAAAGAGTTCAAATAAGCCAGGTGTGGTGCAGACCTTTAACGCCAGCACTCAGGAGGCAGAGGCAGAGGCAAGCGGATTTCTGTGAGTTCAAGACCAGCCTGGTCGACATAGTGAGTTCCTGGCTAGCGGGGGCTACAGGGAGACCCTGACTCAGAAACAAATAGTGTACGTAATTATTTTTATGAGAATATTTTGGAAACCATAAAATTGCTAATAAAAATCCTTCCACACTCTCCTCGAACCGGCCTGTCCCTCCTGGACCCTCCCCGCAACCCCTCTGCACCAACCGCTCCACAAGGTTCCTGTGGTTGGGGTGAAACTTCACATCCAGACAAAACAGGTCCGGTTCCGCCTGCCTCCGTTTCCGTCCGCCTCCGGATCCGCACCGCCCTGCTCCCCGAGTGGAGTGCTCCCTAGGTCTCAGTGGAGTTTTCCAGGCCGGCAACGCCCCAGGATCCCGCCAGAGTTTGGTGCCTCTAGGCCATTGCTCTGGCCCCGCTCGCTCCAACGGATGTTCCGGTGACGTCACCTTTGGGACTCCGCCCGTGCCACACCCCTTCTCTTACCACACTGAATTTGCTCCAGCTCCGCTCTTTGGGTCTCTCCTCTGACCCAGGTGACTGTCCCCGACGCACTCAGAGCCCGCCTCTCCCACGCACCTCTAAATCCCAACCAAGTGGCTCCAGCTGTAAGTCTAGCCCTGGACTCAGTACACAGCCTCTTTACAGGGTTGCTGTGGGCTTAGACCACACCTGGACTTACTAAGACAGCTTACCCCCCCACCTAGCACCCCGGCCTGGGTTCTGATATCAACCCAAAATCGGAGACAGTTGGACCATTAGGTCCATGATGGATTGCACTGTAGCATCATGGATGGAGTGAACTTATTCTCTGTGGTCAGCAGTCATTCTCCATGCTCCCTCTGGCTGCCGCACTGGTCACATGGAGATATTTTGGGTGCTGTGTGCTGTACACATTATTGAAGGTGTTTCTGATTGCTAAATATTCTGAGTAATCTCTTCATGCCCCCTCCCAGGTCACCAATATTGGTGTACCTGATCCAATATTGGTACCTGCGCCATCCTAAGTGTAGGAAACATGTGTAGAGGTGTGTGTGTGTGTGTGTGTGTGTGTGTGTGTGTGTGTGTGTGGGGATCGTCTCTTAACCCTGGCTTTACGCTTTTACTCATAATCTAAGCTGGCAGGCAGTCATTTGTAAGGCCAGCAGCCTTTACAGAGTTTCTATCCCTAGGATATATTGAGCTAATGGAGAAACATACAGTGAAAACATCCAGGAGTCAGAAGGCCAATACCCAAAGTCACAGTACAGTCACTGACTTAAGCTGATTGTGCAGCCACTATACCCATCTATGTGTGCATCTGGCCTAGGAAATAGATTTGGGTTCCCATGGACTAAGGTAGCATCAGATTTAAAGATTACTCTGCAAGAGAAATCTCACCTACAGATGCTAGATGGCTGTAGTTCTCAAACATCACCTCCTTGTACAAATCCCTCTGAGCAGAGTCTAAGAAATTCCACTCCTCCTGGGAGAAGGCTATGGACACATCTTTGAAAGTCACTGGATCCTAAGACAAGAAAAATAAATTTGATCATGAGCCCATACTAAATGAAAAAAGATAATTAGTAAACAAGCTCTGAAGTAGATGAACAACCTGAATTACCCAAAAATGATATTTTTAAGTGTAGTGACTCTATAATTTACCTGCTAACTCTGTGCAAAAGAACATCAGACCCTCCAAATGTACGTTCAGACTATGATTTTAAGGACTATAGCACATAAAATTAAGCCCTCAACATAGGTATTCCATTTCCCTCTGTTATAGCATACAAGATCAGTTCCACATATTTATCTGTTGTAAAATCACACTGATATATAAGGATGCTTCAGAAACTTAAATGTTTCTGACTACGCACTGCAGACCTAGATAAAACATAGATTGACATAACAGGATCTGTGGCTGGGTCTGATTTGACCCTTTCCTGACAAGTGTTCCAATGAGGTCAGTTCCCAGGTACAAATACACATTCTCCAGCAGCACAGAGCAGAGCATGAGTTTAAGAATAAAGGAGGAGTTTAAAGGAAAAGTGCCATTGACTGTGTGTGCTCTCCCTCAACAGCACGAAGAGACACGGTCCTTGTGAAGTGGGTCCTAGAACCTGAATGTAATGAAATTATAGAAACATTGCATCATAAAGTATTCTAACATGCTATTTTTATACTACTTGCTCTTTTTATACTCACTTTCTTACCTAAAATACATCTATTAGGAATACACTGGATGACTTATGCATACAACAAGAGAATTTTGAGAATAGGGCTCCTTACTGCGGAGAGTAATAAAAACAGTAGGCAAGATACAAAACTTACTGAATAATATTCATGTAAATATAAATAGTTACAAATGCAGGTAAATGGTTATGTATAATATTTGATAATCAGAGCTTTTCTCTGAGATACAAAGAACCAGTAATTGAAGCAGAACTGTGACCTAAGACTGAAGAGGGAAAGACGCCTGCTTCAGAATCCCCACATGGAGAACTGACTATCGAACAAATATAAAGGGTTTCTTGCTCCAAGGAAAGGACAAAACTACTAGTGATGAAAGGCAAGTTTCTGCAATAAATGTCATGATTCCTGTCTTTCATTCTGTAAATGCCAGAAGAAAATTTATTCCTAATCAATAACAATGGTGTACAAAGTATGGAATTTGGAACAAAGAATCTGAATGAAGGGAATCAAGTTCCAGGAGACAAATGGACACAGGTGTCAACCAAACCAGCAGCCCATACCATCAGTCCCTGTGATGCTGGTGGGATTAAAATGATAAATGAAGTAATACAGTATCTTCAAATAATTTAAATGATCACTTTTATCTAAAGTTCAACCCACATTACACTGGCATATTAGGAACCAAGCCCATTCTCAGTTGGAACAGTCAATTGGCATGCCCCAACTTTGCACCCACCACACTGTATTTTTGAGATTGAACATCAACCATTCATTGAATTATTACTCAAAAAAAGCATTGGAGGACAGAATGGAGAGGTGACTATGGTACACAAGTGATACATAGCTAAAGAGTTGATGTGGACCATGAATGGTCATATACACCTTTATTCAAGGACTCCACAGGTAGAGACATGCAGATTTCTGTGGGATCCAGGCCAGCCTGGTCTACATAGTGGGTTTAAGGCCAGAAGAGGTTGCAAATTCAAAACACCAAACATTTAGAGAAAGAAAAAGTATGTGGTCCAGGCCATTGGTGTAATTACCACCTCTCTTCTCCTTCCATGTGTTTCCGGGAATCTTACATAAACAAACTTCTCTTGTGTGTGTGTGTGTGTGTGTGTGTGTGTGTGTGTGTAATTTCCTTTCAGTTCACAGAAATCCACTTCACCTGCCAACATAACAAGAGGAAGAAGCACCTCAGAAAACAAAACAGCCATTCTCACTGTCCGCTGTCACAGTAGATGCACAGGAAGAAAGAGCTCAATATGGAGACCCCATAGAAGTTTCTGCTTTCCTGCCTTCCAGTGGCCGCCCTGCCAACAAGATCAGAATTCCTACTACATCATGGGAATGTAGCCGCCTCACCTCCTTACCTAAACAAGGCAGAGTAACACGGTTTTCATCCTTTGGAATAGAGGCTACACTAAGCTTTCCTTCAGAAGCACTGGCAGCTGACCCCCAGCCTCACTGTCTTCTGCCTGTGACTGTTAATGAAACAGCACTGATGCATCTCCTTACCTTAATAGAATCAGTGGGGGAGGCACAAGTGAGAGTTTTTATTTTGATGACTGAAATTCTGGAGTAGTTTTATAATAAGTTCTCACTGTCTATTCTTGGGGCAGGAGAGATGGCTCAGAGGATAAGAACACTGGCTGCTCTTTCAGAGGATGCAGTTGGTTTGCAGCACAAACATGGTACTAACAACTGTACTTAACCTTGGTTCTAGGGGTTCCAACAGTGTCTTCCAGCCTCCACAGGCATTTCTCACTTGGATGCACTTACACACAAATAACCAAAAAGGCTATTGCACATAAAGATTTTAAATTAAATAAAGAAATAAAGATTTATGTCATCTTTCTCTATGGTTAGTGTATCCAAGTTCATCTTTTCTAAAAGTTTTAAGACGTAAAATAGAAGTGGTA